ATGTTCAAGCTGAGCGCTTAGATATCTACAGGAATTTTGGACACCTATTTTAACAGATACTTAATCTTGTACATTATCGAAATTTTATTTACATACTTTAGACGTTCCCATAATTAAATGGACAGCTATATGAACGATGGGTTTCAACTTACGAACATTTTCATTTTGTAATTAAGACGTCCATAAAGCTTTTAGGTTTTTATTTATTTATTTATTTATTTGTTTATTCAGTTTTTATGACACTCTTATCAAATCATTTTTACCCAGGTTTTTTTTTTGCGCAAATTATCGTGTAACTGGTTACGGTTTGCCGCCCAGCCAAAGCTTTTATTTTTTACTCTGGCCATCCAGACGTTTGTACTGCCATTATAATAATAATAATAATAATAATTTTCTGGCGACAGAAAAGGGATCATCAGCATGGCTTACAGTGCTTCTCCAGGATTTGGGCTTTAACCTGAATAAGAGGGAATTCCGTGATGCTGTTAAACTACGCTACGACTGGCCAGCACTTAAAGACATCTCCGGCGAACATTTGAACAGAGGATCTAACAAAGTTCCGGATGCGAGGTTAGATATCCACGCGCGTGGTTTCTGAGAATGACATCGATCAGCATTCTTCGATGTGAGGATCTGTCACCCTAATGCTGCATCGTATAGGGACCAACAGCCACAACCAAATTTATCGTATCCATGACAACGAGAAAAAGCGTCTCTACTCAAGGAGAGTTCTGGACATCGAGCATGGAACATTTACACCTTTGGTCTTCACCACAACTGGCGGAATGAGAAAGGAGTGCTTGATGTATCATAGCCGTTTAGCACAGCTGATTGCCATCAAAAAAGGGGAGCAGTATGCCAAAACCATCTCATGGATCAGAACCAGAACCTCATTCGCACTCTTAAGATCTGTGTTGGTTTGTCTTAGAGGCTCTACGACAAGAAGAGTGCCATGTGACATTAAGAATGTTGATATTGACGTCGAAGTTGTTGAAGGAGCCATTCAATCGGACTATTCGTGCCAGTCCCTTGCAACACGAGTATAAATAAGAGCTCCGCTTCTCATTTCTCATTTCTGCCCAGTTCGCGTAAGAATCCATTCGCTCTGTTAACCGATTCTTGTTTTATTAAGATGGCCGACGAACCGTCCCCGCCCCGGCCAATGTTACACAAGCTCCAGCTCTGCTTCAAACAGCCCAACCGCCAGCACAGTGCGGATGACTGACTTTCCCTCGCCTGTGTTTCGCTGGCGCTATTGACTATTTTCCAATTCCCCATAATGCACTCTGTCTGCCCCCCAAATTTTCCATAACTTATTGTCTTAAAATGCTCTTGGGAAAATGCGATACTCCCAGGAGCATTTAAAAACAATGGTTTATGCAAAATTTGGGGGGCAAACAGAGTGTATTATGGGGAATTGGAAAATAGAGAATACTCCCAGTTTGTTTACTGCCCTTCCCTTGGCTCCCGTAAGGTTTTTACACGTTAATGTTTGCTTTTGTATTATCCATTAGCAGTGTTATTCGTACTTTGCCTCGCTATCTGCAGTTTGTGCAGTGTTCTTCCCTCGGCCCCTCGTAACTTCGAGTTTGTGCAGTGCTTTTCCTTCGGCTCCCATAAAGTCAGTTACATTCCCTCGGCTCCCGTAAAGTTTGTTGCACGCTTTTGTTTAATTTGTTTTATTCAGCAATTTTGGTTTTCCGTGCTTTGCCGCACAAACGCCGGCTTTGTGCAGTGCTATTCCCTCGGCTCCCGTCAAGTTTGTTGCATGCTTGTGTTTATTTTGCTTTATTCAGTAATTTTTTGCCTTGCGTGTTTTGCCTCACCAACATCAGGCCTGTGCAGTGCTTTTCCCTTCGGCTCCCCTCAGGTTTACACCATTTTGTTTTTCTTTGTTTTATTCAGTTTGCTTTTGTTATGCGTGCTTTGCCCAACAAGCTCTGGTTTGTGCAGTGATTTTTCCCCTGCTTCCCTCGAATTTGCACACTTTATTTTTTGCTTTGTATTATTCAGTCAAATTGTGTGTTCTGCGTTCTTTCCCTCACTAATTTAATCTCGATTCCCGAAAACTAAGTTGGTTCATCACTTTTGTTGCATTTGTGCTTTATTTGGTCAATCTGCTCGGCGTGCTTTATTTTACACTGTTTACAGTGGTGTTATTTCCTCGGCCCCTGTAGATTTTGAATGACAATGTTTTCATTTGCATTTTTCTGTAATTTGGTACGCGTGTTTCGCTACGCGCCCTCCAGTTCTGCCGGTTTACTCCCTTGTCCCAGTGTATTTTCTCCCTTGTTTTCCTAGTTGTTTTTCTATTCTTTTAGTTTATGTGTGCTGTTCGTTCCTTGCCTGCTCTGCAGTCATTTCATGTTTTTCTTCCTGCGCTTCCGTGGTAGCCTGAAAGGGTGTCTAATGCCCTAGTCGGATTACTGACGCTCAGGCTGCCATCCCTTGGGCCCTTGGGTGGGTTTTTTTCGCGTCTTCTCTGCGCCTTAGGTTTTCCTTTTACCTTGGACCTTTATCTTCAGTTTATTTACTTGTTGCCACTCAAGAGTTGGCAGCCTATTCGTGTTTTACCACGCAGTCCTTTTGGTATTCCCTGAAAGACCTTCTTGCCCAACTCTCAGCAAGTATCAGCAGTCTAGTTGTTTCTCTGTACTCTGAGTTTATGAGTACTTTTGTTCCACCCCTTCACCTTCAGTGCTGGAGAACTGGGTTTTTCTTTTCTTTGAGTTTTGGGACNCCTAGTCGGATTACTGACGCTCAGGCTGCCATCCCTTGGGCCCTTGGGTGGGTTTTTTTCGCGTCTTCTCTGCGCCTTAGGTTTTCCTTTTACCTTGGACCTTTATCTTCAGTTTATTTACTTGTTGCCACTCAAGAGTTGGCAGCCTATTCGTGTTTTACCACGCAGTCCTTTTGGTATTCCCTGAAAGACCTTCTTGCCCAACTCTCAGCAAGTATCAGCAGTCTAGTTGTTTCTCTGTACTCTGAGTTTATGAGTACTTTTGTTCCACCCCTTCACCTTCAGTGCTGGAGAACTGGGTTTTTCTTTTCTTTGAGTTTTGGGACCCGGTTTTGAGTTTTGGTAGTGTCTGGGTTCTTTATGACGTATCTAACCGTGACGTTCAACTTCTTGGCGCGGTTTCATTTATCCGTCTCTTATTCAGCGAGCGTGAAAGGGACTGTCGCGAATAGCCAGTCCCTTGCAACTCGAGTATAAATAAGAGCTCCGCATCTCATTTCTGCCCAGTTCGCGTAAAGAATCCTCTGGCTGCTGGCAGGCGTGAATTGTTTGTCTCTCCCTTTCACGTATCGCACCTTATGCGGCCGCGCTTCTCTTTTCCTTCCCTCCCTTCCCTGTCCTTTCCACTTCCAACTCACTCAAGCGCGGTTCCATTTCTCCATCTCTTATTCAGCAAGCGTGAAAGGGACTGTAGCGAATAGTATGCTATTGATTGTTTCCTTACTTTTAAATGGCAAACATTCGTCAATAACGCATTTAGAACGCTATTTTATTTTCCTCTCTTTTTTAGTGATTTTCTTATTAAGAATGCAATCGACCTTGAAAATAATATTTTTTTTTATCGAAACGGATTGTTTTAATTGAAATGAAATGTTTTCAACTCGAATAATTTACTTTTTAATGAAATGAATTTTTCTAATCAAAACTAAGTGTTTTTTTTAAACGAGAGGAATTGTAAATAGTGTCTTGACGGAATAGCTTTTTTTAAGTGAATTAATTGTAAATAGGATTTTAATAGTTATCATTGTTATCAATAAAATATATTCATTATTAAAAAAATACAATAATAATAATAATAATAGTTATAATTAACAATTAATAATAATATCATTGAATAAAGTGTACAAGTAATGCGTATTCTTTAGGAGGAGTTCCAAATTAAAGATGGAAGGTATGCTACTGAATCCAATCCCCTTTACTGGATGCAGGTCATATTCGTAGATTTTGCTTCTCACGTACAATTTAATTCTTTGCCGGTTTCACCGAGACGTGACCGACCCGCAACAGTTATTCCTACACCTACCCTGTTTTGTGTGGTCAACGAAAACCGACGGTGACCGTAGGCTTTGGAGCAAGAGATCCCTTGTATCCGGGGCAAGCTTTCTCGGCACAAACATGGGGCTTGGTGTTCAATTCACTTTTTATCTACCTATGTTTTTTTTGCTTAATAATATACATGAAAAAACTTCTCGATTGTGATTGGCTAAGAGAAATGCAGTTTTTAGGTAACAAGGTGCAGAAAAAAGGTAATTTAGTGCAGAAAAGAGTAACAAACGTGACATTCTGATTGGCTAATAAACAAAGGAACTCACTGAGAGCCAATCAAATGCGCCATCTAAATGGCGCAAAATTTGGATCCGCTCCGGACCAGTTTCGAGCAAAAACTGCAATGGTTGGCATTTGCAGCACATTTGCCTTTGCGACCGAAACAACTGTAGAGGAGCTGAAAAACTGCTCTAAAAACGAAAACACTGCGAAAAGCACTGGTTTTTGGTTCTCTGTTTCGAAGAATTGGTGCGTAGATAAAGAAATTACTAATAGCATGATTTGTAGTGATATTTGGCATAAATTAATTTCACGAGCCATTAGGTGAGTGAAATTTGAGACAATTTTTAAATATCACGAGTGGTATTTATGCCAAATATCACGTATAAATCATGCAATTATTTGTTTATACTACTACCCGCAAACGGTTTGTAATTTTCACATGTAGGTATTTCAAATTAAGCTGAAATACCACTGCTCTAAGCCAATCAAATTGCAGAATTTTCTCATGTAACAATTAGAAAATTATGATCCGGCTGAGCTTAACACTNTTTTTTGCTTAATAATATACATGAAAAAACTTCTCGATTGTGATTGGCTAAGAGAAATGCAGTTTTTAGGTAACAAGGTGCAGAAAAAAGGTAATTTAGTGCAGAAAAGAGTAACAAACGTGACATTCTGATTGGCTAATAAACAAAGGAACTCACTGAGAGCC